GTCAGCCTTATGGGTGCCGAGATAGCGTCGGCACGCCGCAGCAAATGAAGGCGGGTTTCTCCATCAGCAGGCTGGGCAGCAGGCCTTCCCCTGGCAGGATACCCCTTCGCACCAGTCTCCCCACAAGGCTCCAGCTGTGCTGGTTTATTGGATTTGGTGAGTGAGCCCCCAGCTCCCCTTGCTCGTCACCCGCGCTCCTGCCATCGGTGTGCAAAGTGTCAGCACGTGCATCCTGCCCGTACGTGTTCTTGCAAACGCCTTGGCTCCACGCGTTGGCCGCACGGCACCTCCGAGCCCTCGCCTCCCTCCCCTTCTTCGCTGCTGATCTCCTGCCCCTGGTCCACCGCCTGGGGCTCGCCAGTGCAGGTCTTTGGTGTCACACCCACCGCTCCATCCTGGTGACTCCTCTTGGGGCTTTCCCCTGGTAGCGGAGAGACAGGTTTTGCCCTTCCCCTGAAGTCCCGCGGTCAGTGCCGCATTGGTGGTCCAGCGTCTCATTGCCAGAAGATCGGTACAGCGTGAGGCTTTGCTGCTGGCGAGCGATGTGCCATCTGTTCTCCTGTGCCCCATGTCAATCTCTTGCCCGATCCTTAGCGGGAACGTGCCCAGGCAACTGCGGACCCTTTTAGGTTTTAGGATAACCGGAGAACAGTTGTTGGTAGCTGCTTCACCCTGAAAGGCAGTTGGGGTGTCTCAAGCAGCTGTGGGTGCCTCCAGTGTTGATTTAAGGTGAGAAGTGGGTACTTTGGCACTTCAGGAGCTCTGTGCTCAGCAACCGCTGGCTGCTCCTGCTCTTCAGCTGCTCCACGGGCAGCCCTTTGCCGTTGATTTCAGAGCCTGGTTCCCTGGGTCCCATGTCACTGGTGCCTTTCCTGTCCTCGGCACACTCTGCCTTCCACCTGACAGGCAGCTGCTGCTTTTCCCCATCTTTCTTCCCACTGCGGCAGATGAGAAAACGCAGCGCACGTGAAGCAGGTCACAGCAAGAGCTGTGGCTCGATGGCAGGAGCTGCGTCTTCTCCCCAGACTCTCCCCACAGCCCCCCTGTCCGGGGCTCGGGGCACCGAGACGCCAGCGGGCTGACCCCAGCTCTGTCATCCAAGTTTTTTTTTAGGCACCAGCCGTGCCTCTGTGCCGGGGCGGGTGCGGATCCGTCAGGTAACATGAGTTTCCTTGTGCTTCGCAGCTACACGCTGGAATGCAACTACAACACGGGGCGCTCGGTGAACAGCATCCCTGTGGCCTGTCACGACAACGGG